TATTGGTAATTTAGCTTTTGTGCAGTAAAATCCCATACACATCTACTCAAAAGGAAATCTTAAGTTCATTGGCATCTGCTTCAATGTCTATTTTAACTAGCAATTATTTTCTAAGGCCGTAATGTTGGATTTAGTTTTATTCAGTGAATCAATCCAATAAAAGCATGGTTAATGGTATAGAGTATTGTGTGAACTAATCCAATTGTGGCTTAGCCAACCAATTATGGTTAAGTAAAGCATGACATAATAGCAATAGATTTATATACCACTTCACAGTGCTTTATAGCAATCTCTAAGTGCTTTACAGGGTCAGCATATTGCCCCCCCAAAATCTGGGTCCTCATTTTACCCACCTTGGAAGAATGGAAGGCCAAGTCAGCTTTGAGCCTGGTGGGAGTCGAAGTGCCGAATTGCTGGCAGTTGGCAATCAGCAGAAGTAGCCTACAGTACTGCATGCTAACCACTGTGCCACCACGGTTCCTAATGCAATGTATAAATTTAATTATAGGCTTTGGGAAGCAATTATTCCCAATCTTGCTTCTTCCAACTGTGGAACACATTCAACGTTATCAGCTGGATTCTAATTTCCAAGAAATGATGTGATTTTGGCTGTGAAACAATTTCATTTACCTTTTCTGGCAATAATAACCTTGGGGTGAAAACTGGATTTATAATGAAATGTGAAACACTGTTTTTCAGGGATAGTGCTGTTTACAGTCTGAACCTCTTTCTATTGGAAGGGAGGAGAAGGGAATCTGGGGTGTTTTTTATGAAATCCAGTTTTCCTCTCCAAATGTTAAAACAGCTAAGGTTGGCATTAGACAAGGTCTGCAGTGTTTAGTGGATAGTGTTTTTTTAATGCTATTTATATCATAAAAAACCCAGTTTTAGTACAGAACAGAATGTTACTCAGATATACAGAAATCTGTGTAATTAAAAAAGCTGATTCTTACAAAAATGATGTTGTGTTCAGGTAGTCCTTGACTTACAACGGTTCATTTACAATGGCACTGAAAAAAGTGACTTATGCCCGTTTTTGACAGCTACAACTTTTGTAGCACCTCCATGGTCACATGATCAAAATAGAGGTGCTTGGCATCTGGTTCATCCTTATGACCATTGCTGTCATGTGATCATTTTTTGTAACTTTCTGACAAGCAGAGTCAATGGAGAAGCCAGATTCACTTAACAACCAGGTTGATTTACCCATTGCAGAGATTGACTTAACAACTTAACAAAGGTTGTAAAATGGAGCAAAACTCACTTAACAAATGTCTCGACAACAGAAATTTTGGGCTCAATTGTTGTCGTAAGTCGAGGACTACCTGTAGTTGTTTGGCATGTAAAATAATACGGGAGTTACACAGTTACAACCTTGCTGCTATGTAATTCAAAAGGAGTTACATCTTGTTCATTATCTGATTTCATTGTATATGTTTTTATTCAAATTGCATTGTTTAATGTAGTTTATTGTAAATTACACAGACCTTCAGCTATTGGGTCATTTTAAATATTTAATAAGAATAGAATGAATGAAACTGAATGATAGGAGTTTTGAGTCCGGCAAAACCAAAACATTTGTTCACCCAATGCACTTATTTAAGATTGTAGAAGAGAGAGTAATGGCCACTAACTTAGAAAGTTCAAAAGAGAATTACACATACTAATTGAAGTTTCAATGGCTATTAGTTTTTCTTTGCATTCCTGTCATTCAGAGGTGGGCTTCTGGGGATTCAGCAGGGTTCATGCGATCCTCTAGCCAAGGATCTCTGGGGTTCAGGGGAAGCTGTTTTCGCCCTTCCGGAGGCTCGAGGAAAGCCTCTGGAGCCTGGGAAGGGCGAAAAACAGGCCTCCCGGAAGTTCTGGAAGTCTGGAAATGGGCCTGTTTCCAGCCTCCGGAGACCTCCAGACTCTGGGGAAAGCAGTTTTCACCCTCCCGGAAGCTCGGAGAAAGCCTCCGAGCCTGGGGAGGGTGAAAAGCGCCCCCCCGGCTGTGGTACAGGCGGCCAACTAGGCCACACCCACCATGGCCACCATGGCCACGCCCACCCAGCAACAGGGCAGCGAACCTGTTGCTTAAGGATCTGAAGCCCACCCCTGTTGTCACTGATAAAAAACAGTGAGAAGGAACTACTGTGCTATTGTCCTACTTACTTGACTCCTTTTAGGCATCTGCTTTTCAGCCGCTGCTGAAAAGACAGGGCTCACCTGAACACTAAACTAACCCCCAGTGCTCTTATATTTGAGGACTTTTAATACAGAGAAGCCTTAATGATAAACTTTATAGGCGTAATACTATTTCTATTTATGGGCTGGGGTATGGGGTATGAGCAAATACCTAGAATATGTAAAACCACTGTTGTCAAAGACATATAATTTGTCATCCAACATTTCTAAGTTGTTCATGTACTTTCTCACAAATAATTGTATTATGCATTCATAGATTCAGCCTGCAGACTTCACCCAGAACTGACATAACATACTTCAGTGCACGCAGTTCAATTTACAAAAGGGATATATAGAAAAGATTCTGTTTCTACGTACCGTTTTTTGGTTCGAAGTGATTTCTCTCCCCCCCTCCAAATCATATTTTGTAATTATAAATTGTTTTTATTAAAATAATACATTCTAGTTTGAACACATTATGAACTACATTATTTTAATAACTGTAACTGAGCTAATTCATTCAGTGTTTGTAAGACACTTTACCAAAAATGTACTAAGAGTTACCACATTCTCTTAGAAATATGTCCTTAAATCTTTTCCTTTCCTTCCCTATCCTATCCTATTATTGAATTCCATTAACAGAAAGGTTTGTTAGTATCCTGGTGTAGGTAATTCTTAATTTACAACAGTTTGTTTAGTGACCGTTCAAAGGTACAACGGCACTGAAAAAAGTGACTTGTGTCCATTTTTCACACATGACCACTGTAGCATCTCCATGGTCACGTGATCAAAATTCAGAGGCTTGCAACTGAATCATATTTATGATGGTTGCAGTGTCCCAGAATCCTGTGAATCACCTTTTGCAACTCTTTGACAAGCAAAGTCAATGGGGAAGCCAGATTCATCTAGCAACCCTGTTTGTCGAACCTGAAAGTTGACATGTGTAGCCATTTCAGTTAGCCCTATATTATACTCATTTATTCCTTCTCTTTCTCTTTACTTATGTAAGAGAGGTGGGTAAGTGGTGGGTTGCTAATGGTTCGCGAACCGGTAGCAATGGCAGCGAGAAGCTCTGCCCACCCGCCCGGACGTCTCTGCGCATGTGTAGAAGCGGCGCATATGCGCGCCCACGAGCAAACTGGTAGCGAACGAAATTGAAACCCACTACTGGAATAGATAGTGAGGATTGTTTTGGCTAGGTGACTTTCTTTCCCATGGGAACAGAGGCTATCTTTGCTGAGAGTTGGAGGTAGAGTTTGAAGACATCAGGCAATGTTGATTTTGCTTTCATTGGGGAATGTGACTTTTGTGGGATGTTTCTAATTTACAATATTATGTGGTGTAATTCTGGTTTGTGTCAGATCCGGAATTATAACAGACTTTGCCAGTTTGATGTCTACCTAAATAAAAGAAATTAGGGGACTGGAGGCTAAAATATATGAAGAATGGTTGCAGGAACTGGGTATGTCTAGTTTGATGAAGAGAAGGACTAGGGGAGACATGATAGCAGTGTTCCGATATCTCAGGGGTTGCCACAAAGAAGAAGGAGTCAAACTATTCTTCAAAACACCTGAGGGTAGAACAAGAAGCAATGGGTGGAAACTAATCAAGGAGAGAAGCAACTTAGAACTAAGGAGAAATTTCCTGACAGTTAGAACAATTAATCAGTGGAACAACTTGCCTGCAGAAGTTGTGAATGCCCCAACACTGGAAATTTTTAAGAAGATGTTGAATAACCATTTGTCTGAAGCGGTGTAGGGTTTCCTGCCTGGGCAGGGGGGTGGACTAGAAGACCTCCAAATCCCTTCCAACTCTGTTATTCTGTTCTATTCTAAATTTGTTTTGGGAGATGGACTTTGCATATTTCTTTTTTGAATGGGTTTTATCACTTGGAAACCTGACACTGTTAGTAACTTAACAACTGCAGTGACTCACTTAACAACTATGGTAAGAAAGATCATAAAATGACTTAACAACTGTCTCGCTTAGCAGCAGAAATTTTGGGCTCAATTGTAGCCGTAAGTTGAAGACTACTTGTACCATATATAAAAGTGAGACAATTTTTTGGTTTCCTTTTCACTTACCTAAAAAAAAAAAAAAGTGGAGAGGTTAAAAAGAGGGATTGGATGATTCTTTATAGCAGCACAGGAAATAAAGAATGTTCCAAAAGTAGATAATCTCTCCCACTTTCTATTATTCCTCACAATCCTAGGTAGCATGGAGCTACTATTTATTTGTTTACAAGATTCATAAGGCTGCCAAACTCAGCATGACTCTAGATGGCATATAAAATAAAGGCAAATAGGAAACCAACAAGTTCCCAAACCCATACAACATTAAACATCTACACATCTATATATAAATACAGAATACAAAACATAAAATAGTGACCAAGCAATAAAACAGAACAACCAGTACTAATAACCAATGGACTATGGTATCCAATTGGTGGGTTTGCCTTTGAAATCTTGAACTCTGAACCTATAGCAGGAACTTCTACTTGGCCCCATCGTTTTTGTTTGATTTGTGCAAAAGATCTTAGTTCCATGTATTTGTTATCTCCAATTAATAGTTCTCAGTTAAAAGGCTAATTCACTAGAAGTCTAATGCTCACAAACTGGAGAATTATACTGTAGGTAGTCATAGTAAACCAAAACATTGGTAATGATTTTCACTTTCTGAAATTTTGCTCCAGAGGATGACAGCTATAATTGAATACCAAGGAATAAGAATAAACTTCTAATATTTGTTACATTATGTAAATTGTATAATTCATGTCTGTCACTAGGCTGTCTGTAAGGGGTGTTAATCTGTTGCACTCTTTGTCTTTCTAGCACGCTACAGGAACAGAAGGGGGAACTCTGTAAGCGTCTTTCTTACACAACTCACAAACTGGAAATGCTTGAAACTGAATTTGATTCTACACGTCAATATCTTGAAGTAGAACTGAGACGCGCTCAGGAAGAACTAGAAAAAGTGACCGAAAAACTGAGACGGTTTGTGTCTGAATTCATTGACATTACAAAAAAAAAATTGCACGTATTATTTTCGTGAAATATCAGAAGTGTGAAGAATGTTGACACTCATTAAAAATTAGAAAAGAATTCAATGTTGGCATTAATTAAATCTCAGCACTGAACTAATAAAATGATCAAAGGATTGCCGCACCTCCCCTATGATGAAAAGTTACAACATTTAAAGTTGTGGGGAGGTGGAACAAGTAAGGTGAGATAGAATCAAGATATAAAGCTTATTCATGAGTTAGAGCGATTAAATGGGGATTCTTTTTCTCTCTCTTTTCTCTCTAATAATGTTGGATCTTAGAGTCATTGCACAAAGCTAATTGATAAGGAATTCTACATAGACAAAAGGAAGTTATTTTTTCCTTTCTAGGCTGTGGGTTATTGGTTGACCACTAATAGAACTAAATGCAGGACTAAAAAGATCTTGCATCTGATCCTGCTCTTCTTATTCCTCAATAAACAATTAAAGATGGTCCTTTTTTCACCATTTGCCATGGTGAATGAATGATTGAATATCAGAAGTAAGAAGTAGGTATAATGTTTAAATTATTTGTTTCAGATTAACAACACGGTTGTATGTACTCTATGTGTGTAAAGGAATGAGACTGTTGGGTGCTAAAGATCAGGACCACACATGAAGTTCCAATTAAGTTGATTTATTACTAAACATGCCTGTGCAAAGGAATCTACTCAATTAATGGTTAGCAGTATTTTGACTTTAGATAAAGGTCAATGGAATTCAAGAAGAAATGGACTTAGTCCATTTATGGCTACATAGAGACTCTAGTCTGATTCCTCTTTTGACTCTGCCTCCAAGTTCTGCCTCTCCTTCTCCTGCAAAGTCTCACTGAATTCAATAAAATTTACTTCCAATTCTAGTTGCAACTTTGCTGGTTTTATTTAATTTATTGATTTGTTGATTTATTTATACTTGTATGCTGACCATCTCACCAGAGGCAACTCTAAATGGCTTACAGATATTCAATTAAAATGCACTATAAAACATTAAAACAATAAATACATTGAAAATTCAACTAAAATAACTGAAAAGCTGAGACGGTTATGGAGAGAAAGAGAGCAAAGTATGCACTGGGAGGAGGTGGGTTTTTGTCTACTCCATTAGCCACTTTATCTACTCCATTAGCCACTTCCAAACTGCCAGATTCCCATTGGGTCTCAGGCTAGTCTTCATGATTTTTCAGAAGGCCAAAAGGGTGGATGAGGTTCTCATCTCCAGGGGATGATGTTCCAGAGGACAGGAACCAAAATTCTATCGCAGATGGAATCCACAGCATAGCCCTTCTACCCGCATCAGCAGAGTAGGTTAACTCCAGCAGGGTGAGCTGCTTCCTCAGGTAGCCTGGACCCATGCCATGAAGGGCTTTAAAAGTGATAACCAACACCTTGAATTGGAGCCAGAAGCAACCTGAGAGCCAGTGCAGCTTGCAGAACATTGACATCGACCGGCCTAGGGCCCTCAAGAACTGCCTGCTCACTGCTTTTTACATTAGCTGAAGCTTCCAGATTCTCTTCAAAGGTAGCCTCATGTAGAGCGCTACAAATTTTTTTACAAGAAACTCCAAGTTACCTTAATAAGCATTTATACATAGATAGAGTTGTGGTGGCGCAGGCTCCTTCTGCTGGCTGCTGGCTGCCTGCAATTTGGCAGTTCGGATCTTACCAGGCTCAAAGTTGACTCAGCCTTCCATCCTTCCGAGGCGGGTAAAATGAGGACCCAGATTGTTGGGGGCAAGAGGCTAACTGTGTAAACCGCTTAGAGAGGGCTGTAAAAGCACGGTGAAGCAGTATATAAACCTAAATGCTATTGCTAAGTGCTATTGCTATACTATATTTCTCTATCTTTTACCTGTAAATTCCAAGAGCGAATGGAAAAAAATGTCTCTTATGACAAATTATCCATATTTTATACATAGGAATCTTTGCAGCACATTATGAGGGTAGGTACTCTAATATATTGATTCTCAAAATCATGGTATGCGGCTTCATGTGAAAGATTGTAGGAAATGAAGGAGAGACTGTTAAATGATTACTTCGGAAAAGGAAACTAAGCCCAGCTACCAAAAGAGATGGGGAAAGTGTTTCAAATAAACTCCATCGAAATTAACTCCGTATAATCTTGGCAGAGAAATTCCTATTAGGGTTTTTAACAGTCTGTATTAACCCAGCTGAATATTAAAGCAATCTGATTAAAATCCATGTCCTTCTTGCTTCCTTGTGAGCAGAGGCCACACTTAAAATCCAATGAGGACTGAAAGAGGTGAAATATCTAATGTTTTCAGCCCATTTGTCAAGGGATTTGTGAAAGGAGATTCACACAGCAATTCTTCCTAGTTTCTTTTATATTAATCTGAGCCTTTATTAACTGCATTTGTCCATAGTAGGTTTCTTTTGACCTTCTTATAGGGACCATTTTCAAATCAAAAGGGTTATTTAAGAAAATGGGCTCTTTAAACCTCTGCAAGACTTCAGTCTTTCAACTACACTTACTTCAAAATTAAAAAAAATCAGTCCAAAATGTTCCTTCCCACCCAGCACAGATGCCTCAAGAAAGATGCTAGGGAATTGCCTGCAGCCTGAAAGTTAGCTATATTGCAAGTTTTATATATGATGCTGGCAATTCTCATAATAAAATCATTAACATTTTATATTATTTTTCACCCAGACTTGCAACATAGGTAGTAATAAGTCCAAACAAATGTATTTTTACTGCCAGAAATTATCCAGGGTTTTACGTCAAAGTTCTCCATCCCTATTTAAAAGTCAGGGTTTAAACATTTATATTCAAAATTAAATTGCTTCTGATCTTTTCTGTCTTGTATATGCTCTGTGGTTGAAATGCTGAAAACGGGTGGTCACAGTTTACACAAGATACTAGCAAAACTTCAGGTCCTTCAGAGAAGACAAAAATACCCGATGCATGGAAAAATGCTGAAGTGATTCTAATACACAAAAAGGGGCCCAAGATTATTTAAAGAACTATTGCCCAATTAGCCTTCTTTCAGTCATCTACAGTGTTTTCACAAAGATAATAGCAAAAAGAAGATTGAGAACATTAAATAATCGCTGCCAAAGGAGCAGGCAGGGTTCAGAAGTTGTTACAGCACAATGGATCACATGCAGGTTGTTCAGCAAGTCATTGAATGGCACAATGAGTACACCATGTCTCTTTGCAATGGGTGCATGACTTTCATTGACTACAAAAAGGCATTGGACTTAGTATTACAGCAAGCAATAATTAAGGCATTGCTCAACCAAGGCGTAGACACTGTTTAGATAAACTTACTACAATCAATATATGAATAAACAAAGGCAGTAATTTGTCTTAATGATCTTAAAGTGGAAATCAACATAGAACAAGGTGTACAATAAGGCAATACAATATCATCTGTCCTTTTCTCAGCCTGCCCTGAAGAAGTACTTTGCAAACTAGACTGGGCAAAAGATGGAATAAAAATCAATGGCACCTATTTAAACCACTTAAGATTTGCAGATGATGTTGTTCTCTTCTGATAAGACCCATAAGAGCTACAAAGACACTTAAGAGCTGCACAAAGCAGGAGAACCATTTGGCTTGAAAATAAACCTGAAAAAGAGCCAGATTATGTTTAATAAATTCACCAAAGAAAGGGAAAAAATTGTATCTGGAGAAGAACTAGACATAGTAGACCGCAACATATATCTTGGCCAATGGATCTCAATGGAAGGAGATACAATAAAGGAAATTGAATTATGTGTTAAAATGTGGTTGGCAGGCATTTGGCAAGCTAAGCATAATTTTCCAGAACGGCCTCCCCCCTATGCCTGAAGAGAAAGGTTTTTGATAAATATGTGCTACCTGCTCTAACATATGTCAGTGAAACATGGACACTAACCTCACAATCAATATGAAAGCTACGAATGGCGCAGAGTCATGGAAGGATACATGCTCAGCATTACAAGACAAGATAGAAATACCTGCATATGGATTAGAGAACAAACGAAAGTGTACAATATCATCAAGAGAGTAAAAGAATTGAAATGGAAGATATAATGAGAAGAATTGATGGCAGGTGGATCAAGGAAGTCATAGAATGGATCCCGCTTGATAAAAAAGTGTCCACGAAAGAGATTTAAAACAAGATGGATCGACGATATCAGCAAGTATTGTATGTCCAATTGGCAAAAGAAAACTCAGGATTGAATTGATTGGAAACGTGCGGAGGAGGCTTCAGGGCTATTAACATAACGTTTTAAATTGGGGTATTTTAAATTTCTGGGATTTTAATTGGAGCCTAACTATTTAATGATTTTAAATTTTAAATTGTTGTCGTGTTTTTGTGTTTTTAAATAGGCTGTACACCGCCCTGAGTCCTTCGGGAGAAGGGCGGTATAGAAATAAAATTATTTATTTATTTATTTATTTATTCATCCTGCAGTGGATAGATAATGGCTAAATTGATATGCTCTATTATTAACAATGACTATGGCTTTGCTTTGCATTAGAGCAGGGAGGGAAATTTTACCTTTCTGCTTCTTTCTTACTTCTGCCAAAAGCTCTCTAGTGGACAGGCCTGGAACTTGTCTCTCCTACTGGTTTTTGATGACCTCAGATGACAATGAACTCAGAATAGAAAGAGAAAATGTCCTCATCCTGGACACCTGATCAGTATCAGAGAGGAGCCATTCTCAGAATGCTTGTTCCTCTTACTTTCAGGGAATCAGACATGGTCTCCCCCTTTTAATTTCCATGAAGGTAAAGAATGTGAAAAGTGCCAATACACCAGGGCACGATTCTTTATCTAGGTCAACTTATTTTAGACTGACTGTCCAATATTTCACAACAGCCTTTGAATTTGCACCACAGTGAGGAATAGGAAACAGTAAATCCCACAGTTGTTTGGTCAGGTTCTTATTGTTTCCAGGTTTATTCTTAATTTTGCTCTCAGGTAAATAATATATATACAGTGTTTCTCTCTTCCTTTTCTCTTTTGCCTATTACAGCTATCCTGTGAGGTAGGACTAAACTCAAAGATAGTGTTCAGCCCAAGATTGGCCAATGAAAGCTCTGTATTTGAGTGGTGATTTGATTCAGTGTCTTTCGGGTTTTAGCTGGGCCATTTCATCAACTTGCTTTTCAGATTTATCACAGATAAAGTACTATCTCACATATAAAGAAATAGGAACTGAGTTGCAACTGCTAGAGTTAAAAAGTACAAAGTAAAAGTGCAAAGATTATGTAAATTACACTATTTCTTCTTTATTTTAGGATACAAAACAACTACCTAGCCTTACAAAGAATTAATCAAGACCTAGAAGATAAATTATACAGGATGGTAAGTACAGGAGGCTATTGTATGCATATTAAGTAGACCTGTATGATTCTTTGGTTGCTGGAATAAATGGAAAATGAAGAATCTTATATTTTCATTATGACTAAGTAATTCAGAAGTAAGCCTTATAATACTGAATTATGACATCTTCTCTAATAAGTGTGCTTATAGTTGCAACTTATAACTTGGTAAGATTTTTCTGCTATAATGCATGAATAAATTTTTCTTGTCTAATGAAGGAAAACCCTCATTGTTAAGAGGATGAATTTAGGAAAGTTTTAATGTCATCATTTGATTTTTCTAATTGTTCTGTAAAAATGAACTCATCTGGCATCATTTTACAAGGCAATTTGTACAGCTGCTTGGAACTGTTTTGCAGGGGTAAATCTGAACAGGAGAAAATTAGATGTCCCCAAAGAGTCCAATGATAACCTAGCATGCAGCAATCAAAGAATATGGTGACTGAGGTTGAGAGAGAGAGAAAACAAGAAAAGTAAATAAAAATTAAAGTTTGAAATGGAATGGAATTTTCTGGGAATAGGCGTGTCCAATTGGCCTCTCCAAATGCCTACTATTTACTGTAGTGTTTTGTTGCAGACCATATTTATTTGTTCCAGTTACAGAATCAATGTTTCAGTAGTGATGGATAGAAAAGAATTCCTGTATAATACTAAACATTTGCAGCTTTAAGACAGGGAAGCTGTAGATTAAAGCAGATGAAGATGTGTCTTAGCTACATTGCATAGAATTTTGTTTTTTCAAACTGTATCTTATTTTACAAATTGATAATCCCAGCTTTATTCTTTACAAGTCTCTTATGAAACAATTTTGAGCAACAGGATTCGGAAAATACTTCTTGTTAATAATCTTAAAGGATGTTGCCCCTCATAGCACAAAGTAGTAGACAATACAATTTTTCATTTTCTGATGCTTTATATAATATAAAGAATTAATACTTCACTCAACCATCTCATTGTCTAAAATCTTACAGAAAGTAAAAAGATGAAAGTAAACAAAGCAAAAGCTAAACAGGGATAGCATATGTGATTATTCCTATTGCACACATATATATAGTAAGGCTTTATAGAGTTGCTTTCTCAAGGTTGACAGCTTCGTAGTATATTAGTTACAACTGCTAGGATTCCCAGCTAAACAGGCAATTCCAAGAGTTGCAGCTCAAACTATCCACAGGTTGGCAAAAGCTGAAGTAGAATATAGAATGCATCACTTGGAAGTCAAGTGCCGAATGCCTAAATTTGCCATAAGGTTCTGTCATACTGTATCCTTAAGTGATTTACCAGCTATTTTTTTCTCATAGTTGCCTATCTATGAAATGGGCATGGCAGTGATTTTCTCTATTGCTTTTTTGCAATAAAAGCATATACTGTAAATATTACAAATTACCATATGCTTTTCAAACAGTTCAGAGAAGGGGTTCTTTCTGTTTCTCTTGAAATCTTTTAGTAAGCATAAGGTGTCAATAAAAACTTGATGTAAAATACAGTCCTGTACCATTAATAAAACAGATCATCTAAAGTAGGAGATTCTTCTTCACAGTTTCCAGTTGGTGAGAGGAGAAATTACCATTTTTAATGCAATAAATTTAATTAATCTCCCTTGAGGTTCCTATTATACAACTTTTTGATATTAAGTTAGGTGTATCCTATCTGGCCTGCAAAAACCTGGATGACTACCAGATGGCTATTAGAATTTTCTTTAAAGTTCCTTTGGATTTGGGCAATCTAAATATAAATATTAAAGGACTAATTAACTGGAAGCGGTACAGAGACTCATTCACTGTATATGTTATCAGCCAGAAGGCGAACGTCTCTGTCTATATCATCTATCTACATCTATATCTTCTGTATCTATCTATAAATCTATGTATATCATCTATATTGTTACCTTCTTTGGGAGATTATAATACTTGACAACTATATCCCCAATTTGGGGAAGTAATAATCCTCTCCAACATGCCATCCTGTCAGAGTGTAGCTCCAAAATGCTTAGACAGCCTCAAGTTAGAGTATATTTAAAATTCTGAAATAGATCACACTTTAGAAAAGAGGTTTGTAGATATATGTCTGTGAGCATTTTCTGAATAGTAAGAAAATGTTTATATTGCAATGGATATTAAATGTAACTAAGAAAAGTTCACACTTTTTCTGCTGTATAAAGTTGGTTGTTTTACATTTTTCATAATTAATGGAGCAGCCCTATGATGGTTTAGAGCAGGGATGTCAACAGCATCACGTTGTTATTGCATAACATATCGTGACTTTTTCCCCCTTTGCTAAACCGGGGGTGGGGGTGGCCAGCATGTGACGCATCCAGCCCACGGGTCGCGAGTTTGATACCCCTGGTTTAGAGCCTAGTCCGTTGAATTCAATAAAGCGCACCCTTCCAAATAGGCATGCACTTTAATTTTGGGAATATTGTTTAAGGATGTGATACTGGCAAGGAATGACTGATTATTAAGAACTGCTATAGTGTATTTAGAGAAAAACATAAAAGACCTATAATGTATTTATATGTTTCTGTCTCCATTATTAATAGCAGATTTTAGTAATGTGGCTTTATGGAATCATCCAAGGGAAAATAATTAAATTCTTGTCTCCCAACACTTTAACACAAAACAATCACTACATTTAATAGCTACTTTGACAACATAAAACTAGAAAATGTACGAAATTTAATAATTGTATTATGCAGTTGGTGTAATTTATACATTTTTAGGTGTTCTTACATTGGGGTTGAGAAAGTCAGTTGTTTCTAGAGTTATTGGTATATGTCTCAGATCTTTTACTGACATGGAATGCTCCTAGAAACTTACACCAATGATGTGTCCCTTGCCAGAGAAATCATCTATGGGTTGCTAAACACAGCTAACAGTAATTCAAGGTGAAAGCTGTTTTAGATACCCTGTGAATTGTGAATAAAACCAGGCAGGCAATTTCTATCACTCTAGTGAGAGAATATCTACTAAATAGTTTTAAGAATTGTAAAGAGAACTACATTACAACTAATAAGCATGAAAGACTTCCTTTGAAAACTCTTGAGCTAAAAGTGAATGAAGGCTCCAGGTGCAGCCTTTATGAAAATGTGTATTTTTAGACATTTGACATTATTGTGTATACAGTGATTATTACGATTGGAAAAGGTATTTCTAAGCCAGTTTTATTACAGTTTTAAATACTGTAATATTGCTCTGGTGAGTAATGAGGAAATTACATTTTTAATTTATTCATTAATTGCATTGTTAGTCTCTGATTCCATTTCTTACTGGATTGTTCTCTCCCGTAAATTAATGCTGAACAGGCCACCTGCCATTAGCAATTCTATATAATTTATAGTGTCCATATTTGACATATAATCACAGCTTTTTGAATTACCTTATCCGGGGGTGTGACAGATTTATTGCCATGACAAATTCTTGAAATATTTATGATGTATCATTTTATGGCAGGATCTCACCTTCCTAGACTAGATGTAAATTATCCTTATGAGCCCATACCTAAAGCATTTTCCTCAAGAAAGAAAGATTTCAACTCATAGTGGCTAATTAAATGCCATTTCCCATTCTTAAAATGGTGAATGTGTCTAGTCTATATTTAATATGATTGTTTTTCACAGTTGCAGCCTTTGCAGCATCCCCATGGTCATGTGATCAAAATTCAGATGCTTGGCAACTGGTTCATATTTATGACGGTTGTAGAGTCCCAAGGTCATGTGCTCGTCTTTTGCGACCTTCTGACAAGCAAAGACAATGGGGAAGCCAGATTCACTTAACAATTGGGTTACTAACTTATCAATTGCGGTGATTCACTTAACAACTGAATCAAGAAATGTCATAAAATGGGGCAAAATCACTTAACAAATGTTTCACTTAACAACAGAAATTTTGGGCTTAATTGTGGTCGTGAGTCGAGAACTTCCTGTATAGAGAACATTCAGTTTCTAGGGGAGGGAGGAAAGAGGGGATGATTTTATGGGAGGGGTAAGCATATGTGCCCGTGCATGCTGTGGGGCTGTACATGTATGCGGAGGCACACACACTGGCTGGCCACACACATGGCCCGGTGGCAATTAGTCCACGGCCCGGTAGTGGGCTGCGACCCAGAGGTTGGGGACTCCCGGTATGCATTGTTGTATAGGTAGTCCTTACCTTACAACCGTTCTTTTAGAAATCATTTGACGTTACAACAGCACTAAAAAAGTGACTTACAACTGTTCCTTGCATTTAACCATCACAGCATCCCCACACTCCCATGATCAGAATTTGGGTCTAGTCCTTCTTTTCTCTAGAATGGCCATCCCCAATTCCTGCAACCGTTCTTCATATGTTTTTGTCTCTAGACCCTTAATCACCTTAGTTGCTCTTCTTTCCACTTTTTCCAAAACCTCAACATCAAGTCAATGGAGGAAGCTGGATTTTTTTTTAAATTTGATTTATATGCTGCCCTTCTCCGGAGACTCAGGGCGGCTTACAATGTGTTAAGCAATAGCCTTCATACTTTTGTATATTTATACAAAGTCAGCTTATTGCCCCCACAAACTGGGGTCCTCAATTTACCTACCTTAGAAAGGATGGAAGGCTGAGTCAACCTTGAGCCTGGTGAGATTCGAACTTACAGTAATTGCAGACAGCTGGTGTTAATCACAGTGCTATCAGTCTGCTGAGCCACCAGGCCCGATTTGCTTAACAACCATAGCAAAAAAGATTATAATGTCAGATGTGACTCACTTAACAAACACATCGCTTAACAAAAGAAATCTCGGCCCCAATTGTGGTTGTAAATCTAGGATTTCTATATACAGAATTGTGACATTCTGGTCCCTTCTCAATCAGCAATCTCCATGTTGGGTGGGAAAATGGGAAGTGAAGATTTAGCCACACTTGGTTGAACATCAATAGGGTTCATCCCAGGGGTGGGTTCTACTTACCTTTACTACCGGTTGGCACTGGGGCCGTGCGAGCGCGCTCTTCTGTGCAAGGAAGTCAA